TTTTTATCAACAATCTCGAGAATTAACAGAATCATTATTCTTGATGCAATTATCTGGCTCAAGTTACTTTATTTCAACATCAATTTAGAGCAGCACAATCATTTCTACCGTTTGCTTAAGTTGTGTTTATTAATTATCATTTCATCTGAAGTTGCAACGCTGTTCTCACTAATCATGCCATTTTAATGTAAACATAATGGAAACATTAAAATGGCATTCATAATCAACGTTTTTGGGTTTAGATCGCGTTTATTTATAAATGTGTCGTAACCCTCCACCACCCGACACGGCCAATCAGTAAAAATGTGTCACGTTGACAAAGACAAATAGTTCACTGCTTTAGCCCACCGGTGTGTTGAAGCCACAACATTTACAATTTGAGTACGACGTTTGATTGGCCGTGTCGGGTGGTGGAGGGTTACGACACATTTATAAATAAACGCGATCTAAACCCAAAAACGTTGATTATGAATAACATTGGTCGCGAAAGCCTACGTGTTAAACTGATTCAAATGGCATTCAAACGAATCATCACCTCCCCATTATTAGTTACGTGCCCAATTGAATCATCATCACTGTCATCATCATCATCAATCAAAACTATGAAGCAATCAACCATGTATTAAAATATTGCTCATTTGTCCAGTACTGCTCTCTCTCAACCATTTTCAGGAACCTTAAATAAAATGAATTGCCTATCACTCAGGTGGCCCTTCATCAGACGCCATATTAATCCCTATCAACGTCATCATTTTCCCCCAGAATCGAGAAGGCGACGGCTACACATCTTCATAAAAAAAAACTGTCAATGTCTGCCTTAAAAAAATCCGAGTGATCCTTGTATGAAATGACATCTCATCGATTTATCTCCCAGTGTTGAACACATTTACGCACGCGCAATACCTTTATGTCTTCAGTTGCTGTTTGCTCTCCACTTGAAGCATATGCAGCCTCGGCATGAGCAATGCTGCGAGATTAGAGACTCGCCTCCAATAACGGCTGGGGGACGCCAGTTCATATCTCAGGGAGTATTTCTCGCTGCACTGACAATTATGTGCCTTCATACATCGGGACCTCGCGAAGAGAGCCCTGGTAACCACAGACATAGAATGACCCGTGCTAGCAACCACGAAGCAAGAGTGCGTGGGTGTTTAGATGATACAGGGATGGGAGGACTAGATTTGCAAAGGGGGATAGCAACACATGCAAATGTAGTTTCAAGCCCCCTGTGGATGCCCGATGTGTGTCTATGGCTACATAAAATAATATGCATTCGTGTGTACACACCTACAATGTGTCTTTAGAGTGAGATTACCCCTTGCCTTTATCTAATACAGTACCGTGTATGGACACAAATAATTAGAAAGGTGCTATTTTCATCTATTTACACATACTAACACAATTTGCATGTGATGAGCTCAGATAATATAATCAACTGAAAACACACTTCGACTTTTAGGGTCTCATTGGAGTGGTGCAGCTGTGTTTTCGCTAAACAAGATCAATGTACAATCCAGCAGTATTTTATTTAACCAGGTGAGAGCTCAGTGAGACTAATGGTATAAATGCATCTGTTAAGGAAAACACACGGAAACTTCATAATATGCAGATCGTTTATTTAAATAAAATGTTTTAAAAAATCCATGTTTTTTTTTTTTAAATGACCTGGTCTGGTTTGGGATCGAAGTGGAGGGCAATTTCTGTTAACGATGTATAAAACAGATATCAAGGATGAGTCAGAAGGCCTATGGCCAAGAAGATTCCTGAGACCACACTGTCCCATAAAATGAGGCACAACTATCCATTTTCAATATAATTAGTGCAGTTCATTGAGCCTCTCAGAATAATATATGAAAGTCTTTATTTTTTCGTGCTATTGATATGTCAGCAAGTCCCGTCGCAGTGTCTCTACAGATTAAAATAACAGCAAAACTGAGATGGCCAATGCTTTCTTAATATAAAAAAGAATAGTAGTTGGAGAATTTTCATTGTAACTGCGTTCAGTGGCATCCGATAACAGGCTAAGTTTCAGCTTAAATTTAGCCGAAAATATAAAATAAAATTTAACTTTGTGAAAGGTAGAAGTGGCTGTGTGGCCCAGGAGATGGCACCACTGATATGCTGAGTTCAAATCCAGGTTTCAGCCACACGCTTTTTAAATTTGGTTCTTAACTTAAGTCAGATTTTGGCGTCAGTTCACCAATGATTCTACATACACAAAAACTCAATCACATTCAAATTGTGTTATCAATTAAGTTGGATAAATGACTGCTCTCAGTACAATGTTGGTTTTGAGTCGACTAGCAGGACATTTGAATCATTACGTTGTACATGTTATTTGAAGCAATTTCATAAGCACTGCAGTTCTGTGATATGTCCTTCCCTGGGCCGTTTTCTGACACATGAGCAGTGCCGGATTATCCTAGTGTAGTCAGTCCAACTGTGTTGCAGATGTTGTTCCTTTTAGAGGCAATACATTTATTTGTAACACCGTAACACAAAGGGATAACTGCCCCTTTACCAGATACAACCTAAGATGGTGACCACCCAGCTAACCACACTATACAGAGGAGTTACTGCTACAAAGGGTCAGACCCTCACTCGGGTCTCCGACCGCGTAGTTTCTCGTAGGACGAAGAGCTTCCAGCTTGAGACGCAGAGCTTCCAGCTTGTAGAACGAAGAGACCCCGGTCCCGCTCAGGACCCGCCTTATATCCCCCTACGGTCGGGGCCGCTCCGCCCTCGTTCCCACCCACCTTCTCGAGCATTCTCGTTCCCTCTCAATCCCTCTCAAGAGCTCTTCCCGGACACGTGATCACCCACTAGCCCCCCTACCTGCGGCCCCCTGTGTGGACACTCCAGATCACGTGTCTCCGGGGTCAACCAGAGTGCTATGGCCCGGGGGAACCCTGCCCTTGGGCTGACACCCACCCCCTCGTGGTAGCCCCCACCACACGCTGTGCGTGGTGCCCACACTATCTCAGTGCTCACCAAGCCCCGCTAGGGCTGGTATTACACACAGCCACCCACAGGGTAAGGTCCACGATGTAGGAACATCGAACGGGACGGCCCTTCTGGGCCGGCACCATACAGTGACAGTGGGTGTCAGCTCACTACATCACCCCCCCCCCCCACCTTCGTAGCATCCAGCCGTCACGGCTGTCAACTCCCCCTCAGACAGAAATCGGGCCAGTTTGTATGTGGGTGAGTCAATGGTGGAGACGATAGGACGGAGTGGTGTACCTTCTTTATGGATTTTTGGTAGGCCATAAAATATGGGTGGTCTAGCAGCAGAGGGGTTTAGAGAGAGCCGCTTGGTTGGTTAGATTAATAGTAGTAACTATTGACTCTACAGTAGTATTTACTGAATCTTTCGTCGTATCTATTTACTCTATATCAGTATTTACCGATTCTGCAGTAGTATCTCCCGACTTTACAGTAGTATCTACCGACTCTATAGTCATATCTATCGACTCTGCAGTAGTATGTACCGACTCTTTAGTCGTAACTACTTACTCTATTGTAGTATCTAGTGACTCTACAGTAATTCCGACTGACTGCAGTAGTATCTACCGACTCTATAATAGTATATATCGACTCTATAGCTGTAGCTACTAACTTCACAGAGTGCCGTGGTGAGGCCTAGTTCCGTGCACAGCCCCCGTCCTCGCCTAGATTGCCCAGCCGGCCGAGGTGGCACCTTTGCAGGCTGAGGCTGGGCTGCTACACACCCCCCACCACCCCCCGCCCACTCTACAGCAGTCATGTGCGGTCAGGGAAGGCAGCGGAGGCAGAGCCTCACATGTCATACTCCAATGAAAATAGCTGTTAAGAAAAGTTACGAAAAATTGTAGTTTTTTTACCTCACCGCACGTCACTGCTCTACGGTAATAGTATCTAAGGACTATAGTAGTATCTACTGACCCTATAGTAGTAACTGCACACATTGGGGTGGGGGAGATGAGGACATCACACTTTGAAGAATTTACCTCAGCGTTGTGGTTTTTTTGCATTTTTAACGCGAATGAGAATTTCTCCCCAGCCCCACCAACCGCGTGTGTTGCTAATGGCAACCACGGGTCAGCTTTTCCGCGCATGCGCAGATGCGTGCTTTGGCGCGCTCAGCATAGTAATATAATAATAAATAGTAATACATTGTTCATTTAACTACTTTAAACTTGACGGATGGAAAAACAAATAGCAATGTTTCGTCCGGGGGGCTTATTGTGTCGTATGTGTGTAGTTTGTTGAAACGCTAACCCAGCAGTTTGTGAGTTTAAAGCATTACAAGGTGTGTCCACACACAGACAGACAGACAAAAAGTTACTTTTATAGGTAAGAATGCTCCTGGCCCCATACTAGCTTAATCCGGCACTGTACATGAGGTTGCACTGTTCTGCAAGAGTCCTCATTGGATACTTCTTCTCTTGACACGTTGCTGATAGCTCAATGGGAATAATGAGAAAACAATTGGTGGGATGGGAAATAAAAGTTAATATATCTCTGCAGGAAAAATGCTCGGAAAAGCCACCTTTTAAGGATGCATCTCATCACAATCTCTTGGATATTTGAAGAGAAGATAGCACTTTCCAAGGTGCTTTTCTGTTGTGCAATGACTACGTCGCAGATAGTGAAATTAAAAGGGTACCTGTGGGTTGTGAGCCGCTCCATTCAATCTAGATTTGAAGTTTTCGTGACTGCAGGGATCCATACTCTTTGGTTCTTTCGGTAAAGTCACGTAGGTATAAAATAAATAAAATCACATTCAGTTCACGAAGAAGACCCCCCCCCCCCCGGCCGATCATGACACACAACACGTGGTCTAACCTGAAAACAACGTCACAGTGATTTTGAAATACCTGAAAAACCCTTTGCCAAGATTGATACTAATTGCTTGTAGGTTTTTTTTCTTAGAGCAAGTGTGAACCTGGCTTGTTTTGCCCCTCAGGAGAGATGCCACTCCTAATGAGCAAACCCCCCCCCCCCCCCAAATAGGATACACTCCGATCATTTCTCAGCCAAGTAACTTCAAACGAGGCTCCATGGCAAGACTCCTGCTCATCGCGATCTTCGCTGTCGGATGGACATCGCAGAGTGAGTGCTGTGTTCTTATTATATCACTTGAAATCAAAATGCCATTTGAATGATAGATTAAAACAAGACTCATAGCCTGCAAAGGGCCGGGAGTTTTTACATTTGTCTTTGCTTAAACATGATGGGACTGAACAACAATGGCCGCACAAGTGACAGCCAGGGAATGGCCGCCCTGGCTGTCACTTTTAATTAAAGTAACAAACTACGCACCGATTCATGTGACACCTGCACAGTGTTTGTACTGGTGCCATGAGATAATTTCAATCGAATACTAATTAGTAGTAATTACAGTTCATTAGTTACCAGTGGATCTTTACTCGACAAGATTTAATTATTCAAATCAGGTGGGGTTCCAATTTGTTTGGATGGATGGTAGCTTTCTGTGTATTGGCTGTTTGCGCAGCACTTGTTATTATTTAAACTTGACGTGTTGCTTTTTGTATTGAATTAAGTGTTGATTGTTCGAACATGTTTTACGTTATTAAGTTGTTAAAGTAGAACATTGTTATAATTATTGTTTTACGTCTGTCATTGTAACCAGCGAACGGCACAATCACTGCATTCTCAATGCGCTTTTTTTTACTTGAGTATAATTTGTTAACAAAAATGTATTGGACAGACACATTTACACACCCTCTCAACGCATGGCTCCTCTATGTCTTTCATGAATGTGTTTATGGTGCACTGAATACATTTTAAAGATGAATTAAGCTCGAAGTGATGGATTACGTGCAGTTACAGTTATAACCAGGACGCTAACGAAAAAACAACAACAACGCGCTAGTGACTGTATAAAATTGTTAAATACATAATTTTGCTGTTAGAAAACTGTAAGTTAATCGCATTATTTGAATAAACACAGGATATTATCGAAATAAGTGGAGTGTATTCCTCCTGTCTTAAAAAGGAAAGCTCGTTATTGACATCCATTTTTGTGTTTTCTTTTTGTCAGTTTAATTGAGGTTTCAACTTCAGTGTTAAATTTGGGCTGTGGCACGAGCAATTCCATGTCCTGGCTTTGTGAACGATTCGCTACAAATTCAATCTCCTGTATTGAATGAAGGTGAGAATCACTGTTCACCGTAATTCGCGAGGCACGGTGACTGTTGTATGCTAATGTGTCGTAAATATGTAATTTAATTGTGGGTTTTTGATTTGGCATGGTAGCCACGCATGGCGTGGCAAGTCAGAACTTGGAAACTATGTACCCACACACGACCCGAATCACCACAACACCGGCATCATCAAATGCACGGGTGTCAAATTTCTCAACAATTCTTGTTTTTACTCGACTCTAAGAATGTCGGGGGTCCTCCTGAGCTTTTATCGAAAGAAGGTGGTGGGTTGGGGGGGGGCGGCTCTCAACCCTTTCCAACTCTCTCTCTTCCCCCACAATTATGGTGGGGCCATTCCGACTGTGCAAGTGCTGGCGCTACAGGGACCCAAGATGCTGCCCCCACCACTGAGCGAGGAGGTGTCAGGCCACCCCATGCTGCCACCACGCCCGGCCCCGCCACTCCCGTCGCCGATCACGGTATACCCGCTCGGCCCGGACGCGGGGCCCGAAGGTTGAGACGTTGCACGTGCAGCTCCATGCTCGACACGGACTGCATCTACTACTGCCACATGGACATCATCTGGGTGAACACGGCCGTGTGCGTGAGACGCCCGTCAAGGCGGTGTCCCTTTATTTCATACGGCCAGCAGCGTATTCATTATCTTTGACCAAGTTATTCATAATTGCGGTGGCGAGATATTAGCTGCCTCGCCTGGTATGCAGGAAATCATGGGTTCCATCTCGACCCTTGACGCCTGCTGTATGTTTGGAGTTTGCGTGTTGTCCCCGTGGTCGCGTGGATTTTTATTCGGGTCCTCCAGTTTTTCCCTCCACATTTGAAAACATGCGTTTCGAGTATTTAAAATGTCCATTTGATAAGCCACTTTGAGCTATCATTTGTGGCCAGGTCGCATCTGAAAAAAGCTATATACTCTAGCTCAGTGGGCCTTACCTTGTACATGTTTGTATAGTACAGTACTATACTGACGTATGCAGCTCATTTGCTAATCCACTGCTGGATGAGGGCCTTCACACGCCGTTCGGGCTGTGGAGGTAATTTGACCATATTTCATTAAGCTGGTCAGTGTGGGTTGCTGAAGGGGGGTATAGCATTGCAGAATAATGGATTTTCCTACACTGCCCTCTGCTGTCCACCACATAGCACTGCAACCTATTTAACCCCGTTGTGCAGGGGGGTTGGATATCCATGCGTTGTCCAGGCTTACAGTTGTTTAGCTTCCGAAAACTGACGCGATGCATTGGTTAAAATGGACCCATATTCTTAGGTTTTTTCGGTAAAGTCACGTAGGTAAAACATCAAAATTAATAAAAATAAAATAAAGAAGGGATTACATCTTGAATCATTGCCTCACTTGATGCAGCTAATCTGGCTGTGACGGTCCCACCTGATGACGGAGACTTGTGTTGCCTCCGAAACATCGTGATCTTTATTTTATTTTATTTTTATTAATTTTGATGTTTTACCTACGTGACTTTACCGAAAAAACCTAAGAATATAAAATGGACCCTTTCCGTATATACGTTCACAAATTGTGTCACGTGCAATCGGGTATCATGTCACACGATGACGAAGTACTCATTCAGAATTCTGCAGCGAGCCCCATGTCAAAGAATAGCCCTGGATAGCATTTCATAACTTATTTTGAAGTCACTTCAATGAACGTCTGTATCCACACTTAGTGGCCCATCTTCTCCTGCTTTGCAAGGTTTTTTAATCGCATGTCGATTAATAATATGAAATCCAAATAAAGTGGGGGGGAAAAATCCCACCAAAATGTATAGCATAGTTTATTTTGTGTGAAAGTTAATTGGCGACTGGGCTCAAACCATCAACTTGAAATGCTTGAGAACTTGGTTTTAATCACGGGAAGGGTGAAACCTGGGTGCAGCCCCACGATCTCAGTGACAACAGCTGAGCGGAGCACTGAACCACGCTCATCACTCATGAACCTGTGATCGTGTAATCTGACAGGCGAACCGTCCCTTACGGAGTTGGGAGCCGGACGAGGGGGAGACGTCGAGTCGGCAGAGCCTGCATCTCATCGGAGGCGGGGCCTGGCAGAGGGCAGCGAAATCGCTGCCCTCCCCACAGGTGCAGGTGCTCCTTGAGCGATGACCAGCACTGCGGGGATTTCTGTAGAATGACAGGCGCAAGACCATAGTGATGAATTCTGGCGATGCGACAACTTGTGTGCAGGTAGTCAACATCCAACATTGACATCTGATTCTAGATTTGAAGCTGTTGTGACTGCAAAGATTCATACTCTTAGGTTTTTTCCGTAAAGTCACGTAGGTAAAAAATAAAAATAAAATAAAAATCGAATTTTTTTATTATTTATTTACATTTTTTACCTACGTGACTTTACCAAAAAAAACCTAAGAGTTGACATCTGAGTTTATTTCCCGATCTGGGAGAAAAATTTGAAGCCGTCATTTGGTGATGTTTGGAAATGAAAGAAATGTGTAACTGTCCAGAGAAAATAAATACATATCTATATATATAAAATCGTGCATGTCTGTCTGTGTGTGTGTGGATTTCGGACCATACGCACTTTCATTGGACGGCGGTTGCCCCTGGCAACGGCTAGCGACGCCTTCGCCGCTTTCATTGGACCTGGCAACGGCTAGCGACGCCTTCGCCAAGGGCTGCAGTTTCATTGGACGGCGGTTGCCCCTGCCAATGGCTAGCCACGCCTTCGCCACTTTCATAGGCTCCGTAAATAATTAAATAATAGCCATTACACAGTATTGTTGGAGCGCTGAGGGGGGGGGGGAAGGCACGCCACCCGTACCCTGCCTTTGCCGGCTGGACAATTTTGGCGAGGCCGCAGGCTCTGCACGCTACTAGGCCTCGACACCCACCACGCCACTCTGAGGTAAATTCATCAAAGTTTTTCCTACTATTCACTCCACCCCCACCACAATGTGTGCAATTTATATTACTTTTAAACCCAACGCGCCAACAATCGATTACTTAAATGTTCACTGTACAAATAGTCATTAAGCTGGGTCAGCGTACTGCCAGTCTATCATGTAGACTGTAGCCTGCTTATTAAACTCGGTGAGCGTACTGCCACTCTATCATGTACACTCTAGCCTGCTTATGAAGCTGAGTGCGTGTACTGCCAGTCTATAATGTGGACTGTAGCCTGGTTATTATAATCGATTCTTTATATGTTCTTTGTACAAATAGTCATTAAGCTGGTTGAGCGACCCCAGTTCCATTCCAACTCACGCCCACCACCGCTGACGATTATTTGAAACGGACCTGGGCCTCCCCTAGGTCGACTCAGCCTCAAACGCGTAACTGCTGTCGTGTGTGAACATCGTCACTGGGGAGACAAAGGCGGCCGGCCATCGTGGATCCAAGTCCCGGGCGAAGCCGGGTCATGTGTATGTGTGTATGTGTTTATGTGTATGTCTGTGTGTCTCTATGTATGTGTGTATGTATGTGTGTGTATGTGTGTGTGTATGTATGTCGGTTTTTTTGTATGTCTTTATGTGTATGTCTGCGTGTCTGTATGTATGTGTGTATGTACGTGTGTGCATGTGTTTGTGTGCATGTATGTGTGTGTGTATGTATGTGTGTGTATGTGTTTCTGTGTATGTATGCGTGTGTACGTATGTGTGTTATGTGTGTGTCTGTGTGTCTGCATGTATGTGTGTGTGTATTGTGTATGTGTTTGTGTGTATGTATGTGTGTGTTTGTGTGTATGTGTTTGTCTCTGTATGTGTGTGTGTATGTGTTTGTGTGTATGTCTGTGTGTGTATGTATGTGGGTTTTTTATGTGTTTATGTCTATGTCTGTGTGTCTGTATGTATGTGTGTATGTACGTGTGTGTATGTGTTTGTGTGTATGTATGTGTGTGTATGTGTTTCTGTGTATGTATGTGTGTGTATGTATGTGTGTTATGTGTGTCTCTGTGTGTCTGCATGTATGTCTGTGTGTATTGTGTATGTGTTTGTGTGTATGTATGTGTGTGTTTGTGTGTATGTGTATGTCTGTGTGTATGTATGTGTGTGTATGTGTTTGTGTGTATGTGTGTGTATGTATGTGTGTGTATGTGTTTGTATGTGTTTGTGTGTTTACGCTCGCATTACACAAATGTCTTGCAGGTCTAAGGCGTTCCTCGCGCAGCATTGCCGCTTTATTATTTCAGTCGTTTACTGCCGTACGCACCCTGACAGTCGTGTGTGTCTGCAGCAAGCGCGTGTATGTGTACCTATGGACGCGCGCGCGTGTGTTGTGTAGGGGGAACGGTAGTGTAGTGCTTAGCGTGCTGTCTGTGTCTGTGTGTGTGTGTCTGTGTGTGTGTGTCTGTGTGTGTGTGTCTGTGTGTGTGTCTGTGTGTGTGCGTGTGTGGTGTGTGGGGAGCGGTAGTGTAGTGGTTAGCGTGCTGTCTGTGTGTCTGTGTGTGTGTGTCTGTCTGTGTGTGTGTGTCTGCGTGTGTCTGTGTGTGTGTCTGTGGGTGTGTCTGTGCGTGTGTGGTGTGTGAGGAGCGGTGGGTGTAGTGGTTAACGCTACGCTGCGCTACAAACCCGGCGAACCGAGTTCCATTCCCGCTCACGGCCACCACCGGTGACGATTATTTGAACCTCCCCTAGGTCGACTCAGCCTCAAACGAGTAACTGGTGTGGCGTATTAACATCGCCACTGGGGAGACAAAGGCGGCCGTGCGTGAGTGGTGAGGGAGGGAGAGTGGTGAGGGAGGGAGAGTGGTGAGGGAGGGAGAGTGGTGAGGGAGGGACAGTGGTGAGGGAGGGAGAGTGGTGAGGGAGGGACTCAGCCGCAAAACGAGTAACTGGTGTGGCGTATTAACATCGCCACTGGGGAGACAAAGGCGGCCGGCCGTGGTGGATACAAGTCCCGGGCGAAGCCGGGTAGTACAGCTAGTAACTTTTATAAAATACCATCATCATTATCCTCATCAGTTTTACTATAGCATAATCCTATGCTGTTCGTGTACCAATGGTATGCATGTGATAAAAAGGAAAATGGGACTGTAATTCTTTAAATAAGTTGTTTATCTTCTTTTTGGAATAGAGGAATGAAATACATTTCCATGATTGAGCTATTTCTTACCTGTGTAAATTCGTTTTGCCTATGCTATGTTGTTGTTTCTAATCTAGAGATTTGCATAAAATGCATCTCTGGATAAACTGGATTTATTTTGCTGTATTTTTCCCAGTGTGTGCCCTGTGTCAGGGAATGGCCATGGGAGATTTGTTTTAACAGGACTATCCTCCCCCACAGAAAATAATTCAAGTGGCCTTTTCAGCGGACACCGTGCTTTTTACCAAATTTAAAATAATTCCATCGGAATCTTGTGCACAAAGCCCCAATCATACCATTGTGATCATGCGCAAAGATATTACAATTCTTATTCGCCAATCGAGTAGACTGTAGGGGTTGCAGTGTGTTTCACCACCCCAACAAGGTGGGCCAGTAAAATGATGTTGAATGCTTTATAACATTGTGAATTGAATCCTTACATATATTTAATAACTATTTATTTAAGCATGTAATAACGAGAGCTGCGCTTCACTTGCGCAAATGAGCAGCGTCGTAACATGAAAATATATCCACTCTGAGAAGCTAGTTTTGATGTCCAGCCAGGATTTTAGCCCAGATCCTCAACATCTCTGGCTCATTACTCCAACCCAGGCATTACCCCCTCGACCCACCCCACTTCACTGTAGCTCTTGAATGCCGAGAAAGAGGCTTGACATGAAAAAAACAGAGTTTTGAGCCCCTCTAGGGCATCAGTGCGTGCAACAAGTGGAATGGCAGTGCGGTGCTACTTGCTTATGCCGTGTGCCTGCGAGAGAAAATAACGCATGTACAGACAAGCACGTGGTTAAGACAAGTGCAAGCTTGCACAGAGGAAACTGATTATTCATGCAAATCCATTCCCTGGTCTGCACAACCACATGGGCTTCCTGTACCTAAAGATTCATGCGCGGTCATTAAAAAATAATTACAGAAAGAAAATCCCCCCATCTTAGCCTCCTTTATTATTCTCTCACGCCTCTCTTCCGCTGGACAACCGAGCGATACCGGTGCCATGGCAAGCCAGCCCAACACGGGTCAGGATGCACCATGTTGTTTTTTTTTACTGCAGAGGCGAACCGTGCCGTGCCGCTGACATCACGTGCAATGTCGACGACTCGGTGACGCCGTGTCCTTATAGTCTATTCGCTGACATCACACGCAATGAGTCATTAGCCCCCCCCCCCCGCTCCTGGCCCTGCTTGGCCCAAAGCCAAATTGAGATATCTGGATAGGCCCTACGTCCGATTAGCGCAGCGATTGGCTATGTACAGTGCAAAGAAGTTCCACATACATACAGGCCACCTTACCACAATAGTTTGCTTTCTTGCTTGGCATGGCAAATCAACAAACGACCCATACTGTGAGGGCCCCATGCTGGCACAGTTTGGATATGTCGGTGGAAAAGAGGTAAATACTGTATGTCCATTATAAGTCTAATAAGGCTCTTTGACATGCCCTGGTAGATTATAGAATGTTCTCCTTCATCATGTCTCCTGTCCAACCTATATGGTCTTTTCCCAATGTTCTGCACATGCCACCACTTCAGGTGTTGGCATTGTCAAATCTTGAGTAGTGCATTGTGGTGCTGCAGGGCATCTCATTGTTCGGTTGTGCAGAAGCCCCATGATTTCATGAGATAATGTTAACCAGTAATCAATGTCAGTGTAAACCGGTTCGTCATATAGTGGGAAACGCTTAAATTTCAACAAAGTCTTAGAAGCAAAGGACCTGCAGAGACTGTGCATTGAAAGACAAATCGTGTTAATTACAGATCCATGTTTTCTTTGAGGTGTGGGTAGTTTCTTACACCCCTCTTTGAAACAGATTTAAGATCTTCATACTTTTAAAACATGTAGCTTCTTGCCCGTTACTTATCCGGGTGAGAGAGCACTAACTCACCATGTTGACTGAGTCACCACTTCAGTACAGATAGTGGCGATTACACAAGTGCAGTCGATGTTCATTATTTTGCCATTGGAAAATTCGTCATTTCCACGTGGTTCAATTGCAAACGCAAAGCCCTTGGCACGGTCTGAGCGCTCTCTTGCGATTGACGTCATGGCAGATGACTTGCCCGTTCCCTCCGATATTCATGGGTGACAGCGGGAACCGGCAGTGTTGGGGTAGCACACGCACATCACTGCTTCCCTGCTTCGCGGGCGAATCACATTTTATCGTTGGACTGAAATGTTGGTGTCGGCCGCTTA